CTGCAGGTGAATAATTTTCAGATGGAATGCCAATACCAAGAACTTCACTTTTAACCACTCCCACAGGGTCCACGGAATTACCCACCCACACAATCATGTCAGGTGGCTAAATGAGAATATATATATATATATATATATATATATATATATATATATATCTTCAGCAACTTACAGTTGCTCATTCTCTGAATTATTTCTTGAAAATAGCAAGGTGGAAGAGAGCAGACCATGAATATGGAGAACCTTCGCTTTGACTTTGGGAATCCTCTCTCCCAGACTCTGTAAATAGGGGAAAGGCATTCAATGTTTCCACGGGCCAAATTCTCCATTATTATTCTACCTCCACCACAGATGTCACTGATGGGGACCTCAAGTCACCAAAGGGGGTCTTGGTGAGGCTGAGCAATGCTTCTATGCTGGATTTCGGGTACCAAAGGGATGGCTCTTCCCAGAGAAGCAGGTCTAATGGTGTACATATGAGCCCCTGCTGGAGTGCACACAAAGCTTTCCTTAGAGGAACTGGCTCCCAAAGGCGTGGCTGGGAGGAGCATGAACAAGGCTCCACAAGTATGGGTGTTGTCAGAAGCCAATCTTCTTGGGCTCCTATATAAACAGCCAAGCCTGCCTTGCACTCAACTAACAGGGCCGGAAGCCAGGACTGCCCTTCCTATCATCTGGGATTGCTCTGCAGCTGCACACTCACAGCAAGGTAAGAGCCTGGCTCTCTCCAGCACTTCACTACCAGCTCCCAATTCTCACCCTACATGAGGCCCTGGGCTTCCCTGGGTCTAGATCTGGGTGGAAGCTGAGTCTCAAGGTCATGAGAAATGGGATTTCACCTGACATATCTAGCCTCCTGCCCCACCCTGCATTTCTGTAGCCCACACAAAGCTTGTGATTGCTTTTTCTATTTTCAAGTTTTAAGGATGGGTGAACTCCTAGACAGAAATTTGCTGGGCCTTCCCTTTACTCAAACAAAACCTATCTATCTGTCTATCTGTCTACCTATCTACCTGTCTGCCTATCTATATATCTAATAAATCAGAGTGCAAATTATATGAATTTTTTGTTATAATGACCTATGTCAAACTAAGACTTCTACAGTTCATAGATTTCCCATTCCTTGCCATTTTTTCCAAAGGGGAGAATAAAGGTGAGAAGTAAGATGTGATCAGGAGAGTTGATGATAAATAGGAAGAAAGGCACAGCCAGTTGTTCATAGCATTTGCCACTGCTCACTAAAGAACCTTGTACAATTTACATCTACCGGAGCTGTCTCCTGGGGGTGGTATGGTCTATGAATAGCTACATGAATAGCTAGGTGGCAGAGTTTGGGGGGAAAGGGTGGGCAGGAGATGATTAAGCGAGTTAAGGATCAAAGGCTGGAACAGCACTTAAGTTCATGGCAGAAGTAAAGCAGAAAAAAGCTTGCCTCATACCTCCCCGCTCTCTCTTGCCAGTCCTAGGGCTTGAACTCAGGGCCTGGGTGCTGTTTGAGCAAACACCACCACTTCTAGTTTTTGAGTGGTTCATTGAAGTTAAGTATCTCACGGGGACTTTCCTGCCTGGGCTGGCTCTGAACCACGACTCTCACATCTCAGCCTCCTAAGTAGCTAGGAGGTGTGAGCCACCGGTGTCTGGTTTCTCACCTCTCTTAAATGTGCTAATGAAGTCTCTTCAATTTAGTGTTATCCTAGTGATTCAACAGTTTGTTTTCTAAAAAGTTTTCTACATGTCCACACTGTGCCATCCCAGAGCACCAGAAGTCAATTAGACACGATCCTTGCCACTTGTGGACTAATCTAGTTGAAATGCATCCCTCTCCACTCAGTTTCGTTTTGTTTCATCAAGTCAGATACCCCCATCCTCCACCTTCCCCTCCTACTTCTTGCTTCCCTGGGGCTCTTCCTCTTGAAATGTTCTTGCTGCCCTCAGCTGTACCCAGCTCAGCATGCCAAACCCTGTGAGTCAACATTGCTTATCATGACATGTCATGACTCTTACCATATCCTTTCTCTTTTTGTGATCGTGTGTGTGTGTGTGTGTGTGTATGTGTGTGTGTGTGTGTGTGTGTGTGTGTGTGTGTGTGTGTGTGTGTGTGTGTGTGTGGAAGAAATCCAACACTGGAGGTAGAAGGGTTCATGTTTACTTCAGGCAATACTTTGATTTCCAGAGATGGAATCTGACTAGTTCAACCTTGAGGGCAGAGACGGGACAGACGGTTTGGTCAATGCTATTTAAAGGCCTCTGAGCGGTTTAAGGCTTCAGCTTTCTCATTCATCAGGGCTAGGCTAGTACGTGGCATGGGGTAGGTGCTCAGTTAATGCTTGCTGCATGAATGAATGCAGATTGCGTAAGTGAGCAAATGAAAGAGTAAATGGATTCTTGGAGGATTTCACAAGACTCTGGGTGTGGTGAAGGAATAGATGAAAGAGGACAGCTTTTGAGATCCTCAAGACTCGAATCAAATGGGCCTGGAGAGTCTGCTCAGCCTGGGATTCCAGGAGCTGGTCAGACTCCCAGTCTCTTAAAAGAGATAAGTTTGTTTTAGGTCAGAAAGATGCCAGCCATCAGCCTGGCACCCTGCTGCTGTCTGCCTGACGTCTCTGCCTTTTGTCCCCCAGGCGCTGTCTAGCTGAGCAATGAGGGTCCACGGCCTCACGCTGCTCTCCGTGCTCTTCCTGGCAGCTCAGGTGCTCTCTGAAAAAGGCAGACATGGAGCAAAGAGTGCAGAGCACAGGATATCCGACAGGCACCCATCAGGCCCTCTGGGAAAGGCCCAGTCTCAGCAGAGAAGCAGGGCATCCAAGTCTATGACCAATGGCAAATTTGTCACCAAAGACCAGGCCACGTGCAGATGGGCCGTATCTGAGCAGGAGCAGGGCATCACCCTGAAGGTGGAATGTACTGGAACAGACCAGGAATCTTCTTGTGTCTTTGCCGGCAACCCCACTGAATGCCTGAGGCACCACAAGGAGAAAGTCTATTGGAAACAAATTGTTCGGACACTGCGCAAAGAGAAAAACATCTGTGGGAACAACTCCAAGAGTGTCCTGAAGACCAGAGTATGCAGAAAGAAGTTTCCAGAATCAATTCTCAAGCTCATATCCCCTCCTCTGCTTGATAACATGAAGCCCAGGAAAGAGGAAGAAGAGCTCCTTCCTAGGGAGCCAGACAAGGTCGAAGAGGACATCTCTAGCCCAGCGGTGACCCTGACCATGACCATCCAAGACACTGAGTGTGCGGACGACCCGGAAGTGGCAAACCAGAGGAGGATTGCCCTGGCGTTCTGTGGGGAGAGCTGGAGCTCCATTTGCTCTTTCTTCCTCTCCATGTTCCAGGCCACATCCTGCTAATGAGGTCGGGGAACAACCTGACTAAGCGATGTGAAGTCACCTGTTCCTCGGGCTGTTGTAAAGCTCTTCACCTTCTCCGTGGGATATAAACATTTGGGCTATAGGAGTGCAGTTAAATATTTAAACAATTTTATAGTTTTGGTTTTTATGGTTGGTACAACAATTTCCCTTATATACAAAGTCCTTGGACACGTTTACCTCTATGTATGCTTCCGTGGCCACAGAGCTGTGAGCCTATGAATAGTCAAGAGCAGTCTTTCAGCAAAACAAACCAGAGTGACGATTCCAGCAAAATCTTGCCAAATTAACAAGGATAATAAAGCTCTGGGTGTTCTCAGAAATACGTTTAAACCATTGTTTGTTTTCTCTACTTCTTGAGTTCCAAAAGAACTCATGGCCCCTCATACGGGCCCCCCTGCAGGAGTGGAGGAAATGTCTAAGAATGGGTCCCACTTGCACTTCCCCAAGAGGTTCCCTGATGGAACCTACTCTAGATTCTCTCTTCACAGTTCACCCATTTCCCTATGGAGTTGATGGAAATGTGCTAACTAGGACCTCTGTGTTAGCGGGGACGCGCTCTGCCTGGTGGGAAACACTGTGTGTTGTACTTGTTATGTAACAGACTCTGTGCCAGGTTCTTTCCATGGATTATGCATCTATCCATTATTTACCCATTTATTCATATGGCTTATGGAGCTCAGACTCCTCCCAGTCTGTGTGTTAGACACACAGCAATGCATCCAAGAGGGATGGTCTGTCCTTACTGATGGAGAAAATGATCATAAATGTAATTCTATGCGTCAGTGAGAGAGAGCCAAGAAAGGAGGAGACGCAGGTGTAGGATGGAAGGAGTTTTGACAGGTGGGCCAAGGAACCCTTCTCTCTAGAGATGAATTTTGAGCCTAGACCTAAATAGAAAAAGTGAGCCAGAGGATGTTTATGTGTAAAAATGTTTCAGGTCAAGGGGTATATCAGGGGAAATGCCCTGGCATTATAGTTAACTTTTTTTTTTCAAATTCCCTAATTTTAGTATTTGTCAGTCCCTCATGAAAAAGCAAGGAGTAAAAGCAAAATAATTTTTTTCTTTTAAAGAAATTCTGGGGAAAGGAACCTCTCTCTTACTTTTTCTCTTTGTCTCCTGGCTGCTATGAGGTAAGAAGTTCTCCTCTGTTGCCCACTGTGATCACAGCAGGCCCAGAGAGGCCGTGAACCCACACTTCTCAAACTGTGAGCCCCAAGAAACCTGGCCCGTTGTTAAATCTTGGAAAGCATGCATGTGTCACAGCAATGGAAAGCTGATGAACACTCTGTCATGCTCCCTGTCACCAAGAAGGGAGACAATACTCCGTTCAGGTATCTCCTGACTTCAGTTTCTGCTCCAATGAATGGATCCTCTGAGCCCAGGTCACCTCATCAGGACAACAGGGTGATAAACCCTAGTCTCCTGGAAGACTGATAGGTCAAAATCTAAACCCGTATGACTGCCTTTAGGCACTGTTGGTGTTCAACCATGACCATTTGAAATCCACAGTATAGGAGTGGGTTGTGGAGGGAGGCGAACATTTTCCTGGTGAGAATTCTTTAACTGGAGAAGTGTTTTTGTCTTTTATAGTGCCATATGTGACCAGGTATCATTACTGACCCCGTACTGAGAGACAATGACCTCACCCCCCCCTTCCCTCATTGAATCCCCTGAACAAGCTGGTCTGGAAGGAGTTTTCTAACTGATGAACACGGCAAGATGGTGAAGTCACAGTGGCAGAGAGTGCAGAGTGATTCCTCATCTAGAGGTTCACAAGTGCTCTGAGAAGCTAGAGAGGAGAACGACATGGGGGGACTACATGAGTGATCGAAACCTGACCGCAAACAGGATTCATCAGTCTCTTCCACGCTCTTATGGAGAGGAAGTTCCAGAAGCGGACACTTCCGTTTTCCCATCTGGGGGATGGGAGGGGATGCTTTAAGATCACAGTGCAGCATAAGGAATAATAGCACAAGTTTTCTATTGGCATCTGTCTCATTTGCGCCTATCTATTATTCTCCATGAGAACCTTTTTGATATGCAGGAGCCCCCTTGTAAGTGGTGTGTGTGTGTGTGTGTGTGTGTGTGTGTGTGTGTGTCCTTTGATGTTTGATTCCCCTTGATTGAAAGAGATGGGAAGGCTTTAGGTAGGCACGAGGCACTGAAGGATATCATGTCTACATTTCCTGAAGCTACTCAGAGGCGGGACCTCTCTGTCCTTTATGGATACACACCTCCTCCCTCAGGCCCTGCTCACGCCCTGTGGTAGCTGACAACCCCACCAGTGCAGACTTGAATGGCTGGAATCCAGAACTCCTCACCTGGGCTCCTTCCCATCTGCCTTCTTTTCCCGCCCTGCCTCCTAAATTGTTTCTGGTAGAACCAGCACAATATATCAAAGTGTTGGGGTGTTGGGGCTGACAGTTCCAAGTACAAGTTCAGCCCTAGGGTTTTCATAATGCCTCATGAGCAACATTCACCTTGAAATGGCTTCTTAAAAAATATGTCATGCGACAATATGTAAGAAAATATCTATTAGGCTTTATGTAAGGGAGTGGTCCAGATGGTGGAGTGGGGAGAGATGGTTTTAGAGCTGGAGGGTTTGAGCTAGATGATCTAGGGTGAGTGTTCATAATGTATTTGGGATTGTGAGTATTACACTGCATGGATGAGCCTACCCTTCCATTGTCATGGTGCTGACACATGACCCCTTTCTATACATATTGGGCAAGTAGATGAAAGAGGAGAGAAATCACGTGAGGGCAAAGATTATGGGCTTTAGAACAAGAGAAGCCTGGATGTTGGGTTCTAATTGTATAACTCGGGATGAGTTATTTTATCTCACCTTGCTCCTCTACAAAATGGGTCTAGGAGCATGTGACCCAGTTGCAATTTCCTTAACTGAGTGAATAGATTAGCTGAGAAAGGAGATAAGGAGGTAATTTCTAAGAAACCTACACAAGACTCAAGAGAGTCCATGCTAAGGAGCTGCTTGGGAGCACAGAGCCTGGCTGGCCCTGATCACCTCTACCTGAAGGCTCATGGGAGCCTGAGCAGAAGCAGTTTTCCTGACACAGTAGGAAGCCAGAAACAAAGCTGGATCTTGCAGGCAGACCTTGAGACATACTTCCTCTGCCTTCCATTGGCTTCCTCTCCCTCACTCTATAGCTAGAATGCATCAGGCTCACTCCTGCATGGCTCCCTGGGTCATCTCTTCTGGTCATCCACATTTAACATTGCCAGCTAGACCACACCTGACCTCCACGTGCTCACTCAGTGCCTTCAACTTGGCGTGTGAAAACCACACTTCTGATTTCCCATGCTATCTTTTCTCCTCAATTCCTCCTCCCCCCACGCCCAATCCCAACTTAATTCATGATTACCGCCCCCTTCTAATCACTCAGGTAAGAAGGCCTTTGAGAGAACTATTTGTATTTTCACCCTATTTATACAACTTACCCACAAATCCTGCACTCTCTACCTTTCTAGTGGTGTTCTAAACTGTACGTCATGATGTTTGCCACCTTGGTCCATGTGCCAGCCTCTCTTTCCATATTATTGCAATAGTGTCTTCATGGGTGTCCTCTTCTTTGACCTTGACTCTTGTGGTCTATTCTTACACAGCAGCCAGAGAAACCATTTTGAACATCCCATTCCATTTTGAACATCTCATATTTCTGCTAAAACTCTTTAGTGGTCACCTTATTCAGTCAACTCCAAAAGAAATTCTTGTGCTTCCTTCCGAAGCTATGTGACCCAGCTTTCTTCACTCTAACCTGGCCTCCCCAATGTGAGCCACACTCTCCCTGAGACTCACCCAATCCTATTTTATTTTTCCCTATCCCACATATTATCATGCGACACGCACTATATTTATCCATACTACTGCATTCTTATTACTTGTCTCCTACTAGGACATAGGCTCTCTGAAAGCAGATTTGTTTAGTCAGTGTCTGGATCTCCCATTCAAGCACCTACCAGGCCTGACCCTGCTTAGCTTTTGAGATCAGACAAGATCAGGGGCATTCAGGGTTGGAATCCAATACCAGAATCTTAATACATTTTTAAAGAAAATTCAACACAAGGACATTATTTCAATGTAGATAGTGCTGGACTTCAATTCCTGTTCTAGTTAATCCTTGAGAAGTGTCCATTTTCTTATCTGTAAAACAGAACTCAAAAAACTCTTCCTTATAAATTAAATGAGGCAAGGCATATGAAGTATAGAATTCTCCACTTGAAATATAGTTGGGGGGGCTGGGAAGGTAGCTCAGTGGTAGAGCGCTTGCCTTGCATGCATGAGACCCTGGGTTTGATTCCTCAGCACCACATAAGCAAAAAGAAAAAAGCCAGAAGTGGCTCTGTGGCTCAAGTGGTAGAGCACTAGCCTTGAGCTGAAGAGCTGAGGGACAGTGCTCAGGCCCTGAGTTCAGGCCCCACGACCAGACCCCAAAAAGAAAAAAAAAAGAAATATACTTGGAATATGATTACCATGCTTTAAACATACATACAAACATACATATAAAATAGTAAAACTGACGAAAAGTTGTTTTGAAGGGGGGAATGGGGCATAAAAAAGAGTACCCTTTTAGTAAAAATAAAACAAGTAGGTTATATGCATGTATGTAAATAGCACAATTGATCCCCTTTGAATAATTCACATACACTGATAATGAATGCTAGCTACTGGAAGGGATGACATTGTCAGAAAAGAATTGTCCAAAAAGAAATGTACTCATTACCTTACTTAGGAAAAGATAACCCCTCTGTACACTACCTTTATAATAATAAAAATTTTAATTTAAAAAATACAGAATTTTAACCACTATTAGCTCTTTTGACTAGTGATCATCATCCTCTCCTAAGTGTTCAGTCTTTCATCCAGGCCAATGGCAAAGTCATCATCCTTCTTAGCTTATGTGTGTCTGATTATATGGACCTCTCTTCCTGGCTTGTCTTCCATCAGTCTGATGTGGAAACAAGGTTTTAATCTTAGGAAGATGTGTTGAAAAGCTACGAACTAAGAAACTGAAGAAGCTGAACTTGCACTTGGAATGCAGACACTGCTGTGGTACTATTAGAGAGAAGCATTGGGCACCATTGAAGGATTTAGGAGCCATCATCAGAAGGTCAGAAAAGGGCTTTCTGAAGAGGCAATAGCTGTGCTAAGACATTAGGGTAAGTCTGCAAACCACGAAGAACAGCCCAGTCAGCACCGTGGAGGAGAGACCTCCTCAGCTGTAATAGTAAAAGAGCTAGGGTGTTAGTCTGCAGTCCTGGGGTCCTCTGACTTTAAGCCCTGTTCCTCAGCCTAATTTGCA